GCTTGGTTTGATTTGGGTTACGTGCGGTGAGGGCAGCCAGAGGAGTTTTGGAGCTCAGGAAGGTTTGGAGAGGGAAGGTTCGGCATTCTGGGCGAGGCTGGGAATTTGTGCAACTGACGAAAACCGCAGCATCAGGAATATCGAGGTCGAGAGCGAAGAGATTGGTGAATGTAATTAGGTCAAGTATCGCTGCTATGACTTGCACGGTGCTTTAGGCAAAACTGAACACACATTGCGTTGTGACCATGTGATGTCAGCCGCCTAGACCCCCCGCTACCTCTCATTTGCTCGTGCGCTAGCTCTTTAGGAATCATCAGGTGTAATAGTATGAGCACGTGGAGCAACATAGCTGAAATGCCATGAGGAGCACCATGTTCCAACATATGTTACCAGATCCCTGCTTTTTTTTTTTTTTTGTCGACTTCGAAATTCTTAGCAAAATCACGATTTGATTTCCTGCGGCCACCCGCCAGGCTAGCACTAGGCCGATAATAGTATTGCGATTCCTACAGCTTGTCACACAACAACACATTCGTTCAAATAGCATTATTTGTTACAGGATAGATATTGCTTCTAGCGCTGCGCCACATGCCATGTGCGTTCCGGAAGGAGTGGGAGGCGGTGCGTGCGAGTCTGCTGGGCCCCGCCGCGACCCGCGAGCCCATCTCCCTTCGGGATCGACCGGGTACTAGCTATGACGTTTGTATTACTCTTTATATCGTGGGGACGAGGAATAAGAGGCGGTGAGGCCGAACCTGCTGGGCCCGCCGCCATTCGCAACTCCTTCGGGATCGACCGGCCGGGTAGGTAGTAGGTGTCGCCATATCCCCTCTGTAGTGTGATTCGTGATTCGTTACTGTGCCTTGTGAGGGAAAGCTTGATGGGTCGATCAGCTTCGGTAGGTAGCACCGTAGCATCCAAGCCACTGCCATCCCTGATATGAAGACATGCGTTATCCCCGAAATGAATTCTGATTGTACTGAGAGGGGTGAATCACTGTGACCTGCGAAACCGCAAACCCTATTCCGTTCCCCTCCATTCCGCCCTTGCGTTTTGAACTGACAGGTGGCAGCATGGCAGATCGGGGGGCGGGTTTTGAACTGTCAGGTGGACGTGACAGCTGGCATGCTCGCCGTGCAGCTGCAGGACCCGGACCTCTGGTAGGTTCGGGGGTGCAGGTTCGGAGTGGTACGTAGGTTTGGAATGGGTGGTGTAGGAAGGGCTGTGCTCAGGGCGTGTTCATAGAGCTTGTTTGAATGCGGCTGAGTGAGGTGCTTTACTCCCCCCCCCCCCCTCTCCCCCCCCATCTCTCCCTCCCTCGCATCACTTTCTTAAGGCGCTTCGGATTCTACCCCACATGGTGCGTCTTCTCCCCCATTGGTGCTCCGCCAGTCATTCTCTCCTGTGAGATACATTACTTCCATCCGTACATCCCCTTCCCCCATCCGTGCTTCGCCATTCATTCTCCCCCATAAAGCACTCCATCCGTATATCCCTTCCACTCCCCTCCTCCCTTTCACCCTTCCCCCCAACTTCCCCATTCTCTCCTTCTGCTCCCCCCAGGCCGCCCCACGTGGTTCCGCCTCTCCCCCCATTCGTGCTCACCAATCATATGTTGGCCCAACACACACATCGTCGAGAAAGGTTCTGTGAGGTTCTGTGCGGTTTTGGCTCTACCAGCCAGGCAGTATCCGGCCGTCATAATCAGGCCAGTCAGCCTTGGCCCAACACACACACACACACACACCATTCCGTATTCGCCATGCCATGCTTTAGCCGTTTGAATGTGATGTGATTGCTGAGCGGTTCTGTGCGGTTCGTGCTCCGCCAGTCATGCGCTGCCGCAGCTTGTCCCGTCTTCCATTTCCTGATTCCTGCCACGTGTAGTGTAGACCCGTGTTCGAGAGGGGTCATGAGTGGACATGAGGGGTCAAGAGTGGGGTGAGGGTGGCGGCACATGTGGGCATCCCCACACTGCTGGTGGACGTACAGCACTGTGAGTAAGGCTGGTCTCATCAGTAGGGCAACGGTCCGTGACGTCTTACTGTGTGTGCGGTAACTGTGCGTGCGGTAACTGTGCGTGCGGTAACTGTGCGTGCGGTAACTGTGCGTGCGGTAACTGTGCGTGCGTGCGTCCAGCCTGACTGTTACCACCACAGTGCAATGGAGTAGAGCCCCTTACTGTTACTGCACCGTGGGTTAAACGCTGCCAGTGTTGGAACTCCCCACCCCGTACCGTCCTTCCCTCCCCTCCCTCCTCACTCTACCGTCTCTCCACCCTTCCGCTCTTCCTCCCCCGTCCCCCTTCCCCTGCACAGGCCTGGCCCGCAATCACCTGCTGCAGCTGCCAGTGTTGAAACTCCCCATGCCATGTGAAGAGTTTCATAGGAAGCCGCAACGCCCTGGCGCTTAAAATCCCTCCCTCCTTACTCCCGCTTCTCCCCACCCACCATTCCCGTTCCCCTCCCGCTCCCCCTTCCTCTCCCCCCTCCCCTCCGTCCCCGTCACATCCCTGGCTGGCCCACATTCGCCTGCTGCTGCTGCCGGTGCTGCGACAGGCTGTCACTCAGGTGGGTGAGCGGGAGCTGCGGGAGGGGTGTGGATGGTGGGTGGGAGGAGAGAGAGGGGCAGAGAGCGTTAGTGCAAGTGGCAGGCTGTCACTCAGGTGAGCGGGAGCTGCGGGAGGGGTGTGGATGGTGGGTGGGAGGAGAGAGAGGGGCAGAGAGCGTTAGTGCAAGTGGCAGGCTGTCACTCAGGTGAGCGGGAGCTGCGGGAGGGGTGTGGATGGTGGGTGGGAGGAGAGAGAGGGGCAGAGAGTGTTAGTGCAAGTGGCAGGCTGTCACTCAGGTGAGCGGGAGCTGCGGGAGGGGTGTGGTGTGGATGGTGGGTGGGAGGAGAGAGGGGGGCAGAGAGCGTTAGTGCAAGTGGCAGGCTGTCACTCAGGTGAGCGGGAGCTGCGGGAGGGGTGTGGATGGTGGGTGGGAGGAGAGAGTGAGAATGTGGAAGAGCATTGGGAGAGGTTTGGCTTGCGTCGGGGATGCAGGTTCGGAGCCGAACCTTTGGGTAACGTAGGTCTGGAATGGGTTTTGTGGGAGGGGCTATGCTCAGCTCAGGGCGTGTTCAAAAGGTCCATGTGAAGCGATGCGATGCGGTTGAGTGAGGTGCTTTACGTTCTAGAGCAGTTGAGTAGGCTATTGAGCGAAAAAAAATATCTTGTGAAATACGCTGGACACGATTAGTAGCCATACTAGTTTTCCCGGTGCCTCCCCTTCCCCCCTCTCTCCTCTTCCTCTCCCTCCCTCTCTCCCCATCTCCATGCCACCCCGCAAGGGTTTCAGTTCATATTCATTCTGTCATTGTTTTTCCCTCCATGCCACATGGGATGGACGGGTCCCGACATTCATCCCATCCTTCCCCGTTCTTTCAGGCCGCCCAACATCCTGCCTCCTCTCCCCCCATTCGTGCTCCGCCGGTCATTCCCTTGGCACTATACAATCCATCAGTAACCCTCCCCCCCGACTCCCCCAATCCCTCACTCCCTCCCGTCCACCGTCCACGTGGTACCTCCTCTGCCCCCACTAGTGCTCCGCCAATCATCAGGTCAGCCCTTGCTCAACACACATGGTTAAGAGTGGTTCTGTGCGGTCTTGTGCAGTTTGTGCTCTGACAGCCAATCATATGCGGCTGTAATCATCAGGTCGGTCAGTGTGAGCTCACCACGCACGGTTGAGAGGGGTTTTGTGCGGTTCGTGCTCCGCCAGTCAGTCGTATGCGGCTGTGATGATCAGGTCGGTCAGTCGTGCTTAGTGTGTGATTCTTAGTCATGTCAGGCGAGTGCTATGCCATGTCATGTCACACACTTGCCACGGACTAGCTTTTTGCATGTCAGGCGAGTGCTATGCCATGTCAAGCGAGTGTCACATGCTATGCCATGTCATGTCACACACTTGCCTTACCACGGTCTAGCTGTTTGCATGTCATGGGATTGCCGAGGGGTTCTGTGCGGTTTGTGCACCGCCAGCCAGTCTTGCCCTGCTGTGATCATCAGGTCAGTCGGCCGGTCGGTCGGTCAGTTAGTCAGTCAGTCAGTCAGTCCGTCAGTCAGTCAGTCAGTCAGTCCGTCAGTCAGTCAGTCAGTCAGTCCGTCAGTCAGTCAGTCAGTCAGTCAGTCAGTCAGTCAGTCAGTCAGTCAGTCAGTCAGTCAGTCAGTCAGTCAGTCAGTCAGTCAGTCAGTCAGTCAGTCAGTCAGTCTGTCAGTCAGTCAGTCAGTCAGTTAAACCCTCGGTCTGTCTGTCTGTCCGTCGGTCGGTGGGTCGGTCTGTCGTGAGGAGGTGAAGAAGGGGGAGGAGGGGGAAGAGAAGGGGAGTGTGCGGAAGAGGGGGCTGAGGTGGAGGAGGTGGAAGGGACAGATTTCGAGGAAGGAACCGAGAAGCTTCTGAGGGAGATGGAGAGGGAACTGAGTGCAATCGAGCAAGTGGTTCGGGCGAGTAGTAGCACGGGGAGGGGAGGAGTTGTGGGGAAGGGAGGAGGTGTGGGGAGCTAAGTTGGCAGATACGCCCTCGGGGGGTGGACGGATTGCGTATATACGCCTGCGAATGTACGAAATACGCAAATACGTCTGGAAATCGCTAAAATACGCCGGGCAGCCCGTAGAAAAGAAAATGCGAGAATTTGCGACGGCGAGAATTGAACCCTCGACCTTGCACAGCACCCAACCCCTGTCGGCAACTCAAGATTCAAGATCCAACCCCTCCCACATCCCCAACCACACACCACCCCTCAACCTCCCAAACCCATCCTCCCCCCTTTCACTTGTTCAACATCTCCTCGGTCCTTCAACCGCTCGTCTTTCATTCAATCCCGAATTTCTCTTCTTGCATTTCGTCCATCTCTCGTCGAGCTCGAATTATACTACCTTAAGTTTTTTTCTGCCTTGGCGACCTCCAATCCTACAGTTTGAGGGCGGAACCTGCCCGGGAAAAAAATTCCCCTTCCCACCTATGTTGGCAGATACTCGTTTCGCGTATCATACGCTAGCATACGATACGCTAGCATACGCCCTTGTTCCCACACCAAAAATAGGGAAGGGAGGAGCTGTGGGGAAGGGAGGAGTTGTGGGGAGGGGAGGAGTTGAGGGGAAGGGAGGAGTTGTAGGGAAGGGAGGTATTGTGGCGAAGGGAGGAGTTGTGGCGAAGGGAGGAGTTGTGGGGAAGGGAGGGGCGAGTAGCAGCAAGGGGAAAGGGGGAGTTGTGGTTGTGGGGACAGGGAAAAAGGAGACTGGGAGAGGGGAGAGTGGAAAGGGGGAGATAGGAAAAGGGGATGGGGAGAAGAGGAAACAGGGAGGCGGAACGAGAGGGGCTGGCAAGAAAAGGAGGAACGTTGTTGAAAGGAACCTTCCCAGAAAGAGGTGGAGGGTTGAGGCTAACTGGGTGCCCTGTGCTGTGGGGACCATGCCGTCCCTAGCTGCCAGCTTCGGCATTCTTCCGAACCTGGAGCCGCCGTTTGAGGCTGCAAGGAGGTTCGGCGCAGGCCCGGCCTGGGCGTTTGGTCCGGATGGAGGTTCGGGTGGGCCAGGTCCGGGCGAGAGAGAGAGTGAGGGGCAGCAGAGTGGTGAAAGGGGAGGGAGAGCAGGGAAGGGTGGGGTGGTTGGGGAAGACAGGGCGATTTACAGGGAAATAAATGGGGGGATTGATGGGGAGATTGATGGGGTTAGAGGGGAAGAGGAGGATGCAGAGATACAGGAGAACGGAGGAGAGGTGAGATCTAGTGGTGCTTTTGGTAGTGGTGCTGGTGGTGGGGTTGAGGTCGGTATGGCAGCACAGTTGGAAAATGCTGCAAGCAAAGGACTGTTGGGAGAAGCAGCAACGCTGACAGGTGCAAGGATAGCGGGCGCAGCAGTGCAGACAGGTGCACAAGTGGAGGCAGAGGCAGATGAGGTGGGAGCTGCTGGGGCAAGTGGTAGCCCTGTTGCTGCTTCAGAATACGATTGGGGAGCTTTGAAACATTCAATTGCCCTGATATGACCACTCGAACACTGGATGAATTTGTTTTTTGTCTATTGCTTTACACTCCAACACTTGTGAGATCAATTTGGAGGAGATTAGCTTCCTGCTTTCTTGTAATTTCTGCAAATTTTCAGACACCACACTACAGTACACCGTTACACCGTACCTTCCGTACGCCACATTTCTTCCTTGCAACTAGCATGCACGAGGTTTGCTCCATGAAGCCCGCTTATGGCCCGAGAGCGCAGGGCGGCGGTTAGGAAGGGATACCAATTCAAAGCACAAGCAGCCAGTTCTTGAAAACTCTCAAAAGCCAGAGGGCAATGTAACTGCCCCTGACAGCCTTCTCTGGTTTCCGTTCCCTGGTTTGCCTGGCTTGCTCACAGCTGCCGGAATGGAACAGCCCCTGACTGACAGACATCCTTCTCCTCGCTAGTGTCCCATCAAAATGGCTCTAAGCACAAGCAGGCAGCGGTGCACCACACAGGTTGGGGTTCCCTGGTTTGAACGAGCCTCGATTCAGCTTGCTCAGAGCGAAACAACAACCCCTGACAACCAGTTCCCTGGTAGTGTCACATCGCATAGGTTCTAAGCACAGGCAGGCAGCGGGGTTCCACACAGGTTGGGGTTCCCTGGTTTGAACGAGCCTTGCTTCAGCTTGCTCAGAGCAGCCGGAACAGCCCCTGACAGCTGATTCCCTGCCAGCCGCACTTGCTGTATCATTCCCGGCCAAACTGCGGGTATTTTTCCCGAAAGGTTGTTGTATGCCAACCCGAGTACTTGCAACTGTTTCATGCTGCTCACACCTGCGGGGATGGGGCCTGAGGGGTTGAGGAGCGGAGGGGACAGATTAAGGGAGTGAGAAACAGGTTTGGGGTTGGGGAAGGTGAGGGGGCATGCCCCATTTTGCAGCGGAGGGGGATGAGGCCTAATGATGAGGGATGAGGAGAGGGGAGGTTGGAGAAAGATTAATGATGGAGAATGGAGGATGGGGTAGGGGAAGCAGAAGAAAAGAGCGGGTAAGATCGGTGCTTGGAAAGCTCAGAAGAAGAAAACAGATGATGAGTAGTTCTGAGTGGTTCATATCAGAAGAAAGAAGTCACGCACGTGAAAGGAGTGGGTGAGACTGTGGGTTCTAAGTGTCTAAACTAGCAGTTAATTGCATTGACATTAAACTGATTTGGTCGAATCTGCGGTTTTCCAATGCAGCTAACCTGTGAGAGTGTTTCCCCCGAGGGCCAAGAATGTAAGCTCGGGTAAACTGGCGAGGCGTGGGGGAATGCTCCCTGTGAACTTGTTGAATCCGAGGTCCAGAGCTTTGAAATACGTGGGCAGATTCGAAAACGGCTGCAAGCTGCCCGAGAAATTGTTGTGGCTTAAAAAGAGGCCACTCCAATTAACCCCAAACTTGCAGTTTGCTGGAACGGCTCCTGTCAGGCGATTGCGCGAGAAATCAGATTGTGCTGCGATGCCCTGGCACACAATCTGCGGGAATGAGCCTGAAAACAGATTGTCTGAAACGTCGATGACCGCCACGTCTTTGCCGAAGCGTATTGAGTTGAAGTTGCCGGTCAGCCTGTTCCCGCTTACACGGAAGGTTTTGGACATTATTTGCTGCCCGCTCAGGTCGCCAGAAAGGCGGTTCTGACTCAAATCAACAGAACCCGGTCTCTTGAGCAGAGCACGAGGAATATTCCCGGTTAGCCGATTCCGGGACAAAAGTATCGCCGACCTGGGGTCCATCAGCGTAGTCGCGAGGGCAGGAGGAATCGGGCCGGACAGACTATTATTCCTGAGATCCAGAGACCATGAGTTAGCCGCATACGCAGCAGGACGTTGTGGTAACCCGCCGGAGAAGAAATTATTGGAGGCGAACACATCACTAAGCCTCGGCGTGCGAAAAATGGAGAGAGGAAGAGGACCAGAGAAACAGTTATCGCTAAGCTCGAGGAACAGGAGATTTGTAAGCCGGGAGAACGATTGCGGGACTGAGCCAGAAAGCCAGAGACCATTCAGATTGAGAAATTCGAGACCCGCTAACTGGCCGATAGATTCAGAGAGGGTTGCGGGGAACTTTCCGCCGGGGTCGCGCGCAGTACGGTTGCAAAGGCGAGGCGTGGGTGGGTGGGGGGCGCTGTTCTTAGAGATGGATAGAAACGAAACACCGTTGCCATAGCAGCAAGCCACGCCGGGCCACGTGCACCCGTTCGGCTTGTTCGCCGGGATAGGTATCAGCGCGGCCGAGAAAACCGCCCTGAGAGCCGTGTTACTAGCCGCGGAAGCCGCCGGGGACGAGTCACTGCTGGTTCCGCCCACCCCTGCTGCGTCGGACGCAGAATCTTTCGCGAAGTAGCAGGGATCAGGAGGCATCTTCGGTACAGGATGTCTCGATATGGAATGGAAAGCCGTCGTCGGTGAGCAGTAGAGGAGTAGGAGGAGGAGGCACGCTGTCGTACTAACGTGAGCGCGCAACGCGTCGTGAAGAACGGTGGCGGAACGCGCGACTCGAGGGTGATATACTACGTTCGCCATGAGGTGTGACTCCGAGTGAAGCGACTACGGTAGTACTGTAACTTACGAGACTCGTACCGTGAGAAACCAAAACCTACCTCAGGGAGTGTCAAAGTTAACCCGGAAATGAACTTCCATTTCGAGCAAGGAAATAAGACGAGGGTCGATACGGGCTGATTTTCAGGATAAGATGGCGGTGAGTTCCCGGAAGAGCTGAGCGCACGGCATCCGCCCAATACGTGTCCCACGTGGCAGTTTCCACGGCGGAAGATACACCAAGCACGTGCCACGCGATATTCTCGCCGACGGCCGTCCACATAACACACCGAGCTAGTCATTGCCTTTGCCCCTATCGTGATGCGCGTTCCCTAAGCGAGGCAAATACAGTACAGCAATGAAATGAATGGGTGTTGCTTCAGCGGCAGCAGCAGTATGGACGAATAGAATGCACGCGACGGCATCGCGAGCAACGTGTGGGCTTGGCTTGGCTTGGCTTGGCTTGGCTTGGCTTGGCTTGGCAGGCATTCGTTCGCCCTAGCAGAGAGGCAGCACTAGCGGGACGAGAGAAGGACCACTATCGAGAGGAACCACTATTGGGAGACGGCTGGTGGGGTGGAAGTGGGAGGAGCTGATTGAGATATGCAGATATGGGTTGGGTTACGTTGGGTTAGGCTTGGTTGGATTGGGTATGGTTGCTGGGCTGGGCTGAAATTGGCTGATTTGGTTGAGCTGGGTTGGGTTGGGTTGGTTTGGGCTGATTGAGGTTAGGAGGATACCCAGAGTGGTTGGTTGGAGCGAATGGGGATTGCACAGGGAAGGTGAGGCATTTTGGGCGAGGAAAGAGATTTGATGTGTTTCATCAGAGTGAAGAGAGATTTGAGAGTGAAGATAGTTGTGATAAGGTCAAGTGCGGTGCATCGCACGCTGCCTTGTTACCATTCTCGAATCTGTCTTGACAATATTCCAAGTCGCCTAGGTTCCCAATATGCTCGCACGTCAGGAAGCAGCTAGTAGCCCTAGTCGGCCTTACCAACTTAGTGCCTTCTTGGAAGATTGACTTGATTTCCTGCAGCCATCCACCAGGCCGGTTCTAGTCTGTTCAAGCATCGAAATTTCTACAACTGCTCGACACAATATACAATTACCTACAATCTCACAACAACCCAGCGGGGTTCGTTACAAGTTAGCACAGTATTTCAAAGGCTGCGCACGATTAGGCGTTCTGGGAGGAGGGAGGCGGTGAGGTCGAGCCTGCTGAGACCCGCCGCGACCCGCGAATCCTACTCCTTCGGGATCGACCGGCGGGTAGGTAATAGGTGTAGTCTAGCGTATTCCTGCTGTAATTCAAATCGTGATTCGCTACTGTGCCTGGTGAGTGTCCTGCGAGGAGTTAAATGCGGTGAGGGAGAGCTTGAGGGGTCGATCAGCTTCGGTAGGTAGCACTGGCGTAGCTGCCAAGCCAATACTATCATCCCTGATCAGAAGCCTTTTGCTATCCCAGAGAAATGAATCTCGGTCGTCATGGGAGGGGTGAAGTACGGTGAGTCAATCTCGAACCGTCATATCCTCATTTCCTCATACTCACGAATTCATATTTCTGTACGATGTGAAACCGCAAACCCTAATCCGTTCCCCACCATTCCACCCTTGGGTTTTGAACCGACAGGTGCCAGCATGGCAGATCAGGGGCCGGGTGCCAGCCTCTGTGGACGTGACAGCTGGCATGCTCGCCGTGCAGCTGCAGGATTCGGACCTCTGGTAGATTCGGGGCGCTGGTTTGGCGATGCTGGGGAAGGGTTAAATGTGGATGATTTATGTGTGTCTCAAAGGCTCGTTTCACTGTGGCTGAGTTAGGCGTGTCTCAAAGACTCGTTTCATTGGGTAATTTATGGTAATGTTTCTTGCGCAAAAACGAAAATTAGGGGCACGTCCTTGGGATAATTTCACTTTATGTGCTGGCTGTGCTGCTGCAGGATCCGAGGCTCTTGCATGCAGGCTCGTAACTCAGGTTTGGCAATGTAGGTTCGGTTCAGAATGCGACAGGATCGGAGCTCTCCTTTTCCGTCTCCCTCCCTCAATTCCACCCTTCCTCTACCCACTCCCCCACCTCCAGGCAGTGGCAGCCTCACGCGGTTGCTCAGCTCCCCCCATTCGTGCCCCGCCTCCCCCCATTCGTGCCCCGCCTCCCCCCATTCGTGCCCCGCCTCCCCCCATTCGTGCCCCGCCTCCCCCATTCGTGCTCCGCCAGTCAGTCTCCCCCATTCAGCAATCCATGCGTACACCCCTTTCCCCTTCCCCACCTCACCACCCCTCCCCACCCCCCGCCTCCCCTTCCCCTAACTCCCCCAGTCTCTCCCTCCCTCTCACCCTCCCTCTCACCCTCCCCCGCACCACGTGGTGCCTCCGCTCCCCCCATTCATGCTCCTCGAGTCATATGCGGCCCACATCATGAGCCTGGTTAGTTCTGGGCCCAACTCACACGGTTGAGAGAGGCTCTGTGCGGTTCTGTGCGGTGAATGATCATGAGGTAAGTCATTCCTCTCTTCACTTTGTTTCAGTAAACTTCTTATCAAACCACAACCCGATCCCAGCCTAACACCACGCCTCAATCAGCCTCAACGCACACAACATTCCACCCACGTTCGCCATGGTTTGTTGGCTGCGTGTCATGAGATTTCTGAGCGGTCCGTGCGGTTCTGTGCGGTTTGTGCTCCGCCAGTCATGCTCTGCCGTCTCTTGTCCCTTTCTCGGTTTTATCCTGATCCCTGCCCTGCCATGTGTAGGTTCGTATTCTGGAGTGGTAATGAGGGGTGATGATGAGGGGTCATGAGGGGGCATGATTGAGTTAGTAGGCCTGTTTTGTTTCCTTCTCCCCCTTTTTCCACGCCCTGCTGCCACGTGTAGGTTCGTGAGTGGTCTGTGTGACAACCGCAATCCAGCACTGGTTCGGTCGGTGGTGAGAATGGCAGCACACGTGGGCATTCCGTGACTGCTGGTGGACGTCAGGCACTGTGAGTAAGGCAGGAAAGTGTTACACTGTAACATGCTGTCACGTTGTAACAACCGCAATCCAGCTCTAGGTCGGTCGGTGGGGAGGGTGACGGCACGGCACGCGTGGTGGCGTGGGCATCCCACGAATGTTGGTGGACGTGGGGCATTGTAAGTGGGGCTCGGATGCGTTTCTGAGTGTCATAGTGAGCTGCTGGTGTAACCTGGATCCGAGTTGGCTTTTGTGTAACCACTTTTGGGTGCAGTGGTTGATGGCTCGGGGGGGTAGTGGGCTGGGGGTGGATGGGGGGGTGGTTGCAGGACATTCATAAGGAAGGCTTTTGGTAGCTGCTGTACCTTGTAAAAGCACAACTGCTGTTGTGACTATATTGGGGGCACATCCGTCCGTCCCCTCCCACTCTCCATTCCGTCTCCAGTCTTGGCTCACTATCGCCTGCTGCAGTGGCTGGTGCTGAAACTCCCCATACCATCCGTACTTCCCCCCTCTCCTTATTGCTCCCCTGCTTCCCGCCCCATCCCCCATGCCCCACCCCCTTCCCCGTCAGTCAACCTTCCCCATCATCCTTCCCTGTCGCCCTTCCCCGTCACCCTTCCCCCTTCCAGTCTCCAGCCCTGCCCCACAATCACCTGCTGCAGCGGCCAGTGCTGTGAGTGGGTGTGACTCAGGTGAGTGTGATGGATGCGGATGGTGGTTGGAGGCACAGAGAGAGAGAGGGTCAGAGAAAGAGGGGGGGAAGGGAAAGGTGCTGCAGCAGCCAGTGCTGTGAGTGGGTGTGACTCAGGTGAGTGTGATGGATGCAGATGGTGGTTGGAGAGAGGGAGGGGGTTAGAGCACAAACGAGGGAGAAAGGGAACAAAAGGGAAAGGAGGAGGGAGGTCAGGAGTGAGGAGAGAAAGGGAACGGTGCTGCAGCGGCCAGTGCTGTGAGTGGGTGTGACTCAGGTGAGCGGGATGGATGCGGATGGTGGTTGGGGAGAAGGAAAGGAGACAGAAAGTGAAGGAGGGAGATTAGGGAGGGAGGGAGGAGAGTGAGGGAGGAGAGTGAGGGAGGAGAGTGCGGGAGGGCGGTGAGAGAGGTGAGAGAGGGGGGAGGAGGATCAAGTGATTGCTGCAGCTGCCCTGCTGCAGTTCGCAAGGTGAGTGTGAGGGGGGTCAGGACTCATGAGGGCGAGTAGCAAGGGGAGAGGAGGGGCTGCGGTTGCGGGGTCAGGACGGACAAATACTGGTTCGAGTCGAGTAATAAAGGAGATGGTAAACAGATGAAAGGGAGTACTGGGAGAGGGGGCAGAAGAAGAGACAGGAAAGGGAAAGATCAGAATTAGGAATCTGGGAAAATGGAAGGGGAGGAAGAGGCAGCAGGGAGTTGGAGGGATTGGGGCAGGTGGGAAGAGATTGTTTCATGATGAAAAGAACCTTCCAGGAAAGAGAAGGGTTGCGGCTAACTGGGTGCCCTGTGCTGTGCGCACCATGCCGTCCCTAGCTGCCAGCTCCGGCGTTCTTCCGAACCTGGTGGTGCTGCGGCTGCTAGGAGGTTCGGCGCAGGTTCGGGCTGGGCGTTCGGTCCGGATGGAGGTTCGGGTGGCCATATTCTGAACGAGGGAGCGTAAGAGGAGGAGCAGACTGGAGAAAGGGAGAGGGGATGAGGAGAGGAATGGGTGGGGCGGTTGCGGAAGGTAGGGGCGAGGGACAGGGATTGTGTTGGGGGGATTGGCGGGGTTAGAGGGGAAGGGGATGATAGAGAAAGAGAGGAGAAGAGAGAAGAGGTGGGATCTGGTGCTGCGTTTGGTACTGCTGCTGGTGCTGGTGGTGCTGCTGGTGCTGCTGGTGCTGCTGGTGGTACCGGTGATGGTGCTCGTGGTGGTGGGGAGGTGGGTGCTGCTGCTGCTGCTGCTGCTGCTGCTGATGGTGGTGGGGAGGTGGGTGCGATCTCACACTTGAAGGAGGCTGCAAGTGGTGCATTGTTGGGTGTAGCAGCCGCATCAATGCCAGGGGATAGGAGATTGGCTGCAGCAATGCCGGGAGGTGCACAACTGGCGGCACAAGTGGCGGCACAAGTGGCGGGGAAGCAGGGGATGTGGGGGAAGGAAGCAGGGGATGTGGGGGGAGGTAGCAGGGGATGTGGGGGGAGGAAGCAGGGGATGTGGGGGGAGGTAGCAGGGGATGTGGGGGGAGGAAGCAGGGGATGTGGGGGGAGGTAGCAGGGGATGTGGGGGGAGGTAGCAGGGGATGTGGGGGGAGGTAGCAGGGGATGTGGGGGGGGTTCTGGAGCCAGAGGTGGCCCTGTTGCTGCTTCAGGGTATGATTGGGCAGCCTTGAAACACTTGGACAGGGGGGAGGTCAGTTTGGAGGTTTGCTTTCATTGTTTTTCCTTGTAATTTCTACAACTTTTGACAAATCACTCCATACTGCGCCAGATTTCCACCTTGCAACTAGCATGCAGCGGTTTTGCTCGACGAAGCTCGCTTCAGGCCTGAAAAGCAGGTTCCTACCGGTAGTTCCCTGCCTTGAAGAAGCCTGCTTTTTCAGCAGTGCTCTTCGCAAGCTGTAGTTGACTGGTTTGGAGGAGCTTCTTTGCAGCGCACTTACAGCATGCATGACCAGTCAAACATGGTTTATAAATGATCTAAAACATACGGTACATTTTATTAGATATACCGTATCAGTTGGGGTGATCATATGCACAAGCAGGGATTGTTCTAAGCACAAGCAGGTAGCGGTTTCCCGCCCAGGTTGGGGTTCCCTCCCGGGCTTGGGCGAGCCTCGCTGCAGATCTTTGTCAAAACGGTTCCTCGATAGTGTCCCATCGAAATGGTTCTATGCACAAGCAGGCAACGGTGCTCCGCACAGGTTAGGGTTCCCTGGTTTGAACGAGCCTCGCTGCAGCTTGCTCAGAGCGGCCGGAACAGCCCCTCTCAGCCGGTTCCCTGCCAGCTTCACTTGCCATAGCCTTGCCGGCCAAACCGTGGGAATGGCACCTGAAAGCCTGTTGTACGACAACCCTAGCCTCTGTAACATTTTCATCTTGCTCACACCAGCTGGGATCGGTCCCGTGAGGGCGTTATTATCGAGGCGGAGGCGCTTGATGTTTTTAAAGGATCTGACTGTAGCGGGGATGGGACCAGAGAGGCGGTTGGAGGAGAGGTAAAGGGCCTGAAGGGACCAAGAGCAGTAGGGGGAGAGCGGGGTGGGCGGGCCGGAGAGGGCGTTGGAGGCGAGGTTGAGGATGGTGAGGGCCTGCCTGCCCTGGCAGAAGGTGGGGATGGGGCCTGAGGGGTGGGAGATGGGAGGCAGGAGAAAGCACAGGGATAGAGCAGGGAGGATCGAAGAGTCAAATCAAGCAGGGAAGTGTTAACAGAAAGCGGTGCAGGAGTGGGAGGAGAGAGAAGGAGCAGAAGGGGGAGGCGAGGGTGGTAGGTGGGCCGGAGAGGGCGTTGGAGGCGAGATTGAGGATGGTGAGGGCCTGCTCGCCCTGGCAGAAGGCGGGGATGGGACCTGAGGGGTTGGGGGAAGGGGGGATAAGAGGAAGTTAATCTATACGGCCTGAGGGGTGCGGAGAAGGGGGGGATAGGTAAAGTAAATCTATAGCGCCTGAGGGTTGCGGGAAAGGGGTTATAGGAGGAAATAAACTGATGGGGTAAGAGGGATGGGGCAGCAGAAGCATAAGTTGAGGAGTGGGTAAGAGGAGGGAACAGTAAGCTAAATGGAAGAAAACAACTAAGAGCTTTTTCAGTCAGCTCACCTGTCAGAGCGTTTGCCTGGAGGTCCAAGTATTGAAGCTGGGGTAAAGTGGTGAGACGTCGGGGAATGCTCCCTGTGAATTTGTTGAATCCGAGGTCCAGAGCGGTGATGTCCGTGGGCAGGTTCGAAAACGGCTGCAAGCTGCCCGAGAAATTGTTGTGGCTCAGAACGAGGCCATCTGGAAAGGAACTTCTGGACGAAACAATTTGCTGGAACCGCTCCTGTGAGGCGATTACGCGAAAAATCAGCTGCTACGCCTCCCCGATCGCACACAATTTGCGGGAATGCGCCCGAAAACAAATTGTGCGAAAAGTCTATGACCAGCATGGATTCGCTAAACCTGATCGTGTTGAAGTTTCCGGTCAGCCTGTTCCCGCGAACGCGAAAGGCCGAGGACATTATTTGCTGCCCGCTCAGGTCGCCGGAAAGCCGGTTCGCACTTAAATCAAGAAGAGACATTTTTATCTGCAGAAGAGCACGGGGAATTTTCCCGGATAGCCGATTCGACTTCAAAGATAAATAATTTAGGTTTGGTAGCGTCGCGAGGGCAGCAGGGATCGGCCCCGACAACCAGTTCAACCCGAGGTCGATATACGATAGCGCAGCCGCGTACGCAGCAGGACGTTGTGGTAACCCGCCCGAGAAGAAATTCGGGCCGCGAAAAATGGCGAGAGGAGGAGGACCAACGAAGCAGTTATAGCTAATATCGAGATTCTGCAACTTCGTAAGCCGGGAAAGCGACCGCGGGACAGAGCCAGCTAGCCAGAGATCCGCCAGACTGAGATCCGTGAGACCCGTCAACTGGCCGATAGAATCTGAGAGGGTTGCGGGGAACTTTCCGCCGGGTAAGAGCGCAGTACGGTTGCAAAGGCGAGGTGTGGGTGGGGGGGGCGCGATATTGTTGAGGTAGGACGAAAGAAATAACAGCTTAACAACGCCGCTGCAGCAAGTCACGCCGTCCCACGTGCACGCGTCCGGCTGGTCTGGCGGGATATATATCCGCGCGGCGGTGAAGATCGCCCTGAGAGCCGCCGTGACAGCCGCTGAAGCCGGCGACGAGTCGCTGCTGGTTGCGCCCACCGCTGCGTCCCAGCAGGGATCCCAGTTTAATGTTCTCTCCGCCGGCCGCGCACCGAGATAGTGCGCCGCGCGAGGCGGAACCATGATCCGCGCGGGGAGTCCTCCGCGGCGAGTAGCATGCAGCTTCGATGGAAGCTGCCTCGATATGGGCTGGAAAGCCGCCGTCGGTGAGCAGTAGAGGAGTAGCAGGAGGAGGCACGCTGTCGTACGAACGTGAGCGCGCAACACGCCGTGATGAACCGCGATGGAACGCGCGACTCGAGTGTAATCTACGTCCGCCGCCATGTGTGAATGGCGCATGACTTCGAGTCAATCGTGACTGCCTAGCTTCCCAAACTCGAGAACCGCCTAAAAACTAGCAAAGCGTGAAATGCGTTTTCAGCGATGAAGATGAGATAAGGGAAAATACAGAAGCGATACGAGCTGAGAGATATGATGACGACGAATTCCCCTGAAAGTAAGTGCTCGACATTCGCCCAAAGAGTGGCCTACGTGGCAGTTTCCACGTCGGAAGACACGTGCCATGCGATTTTCGCGCCGGCCACCGTCCACGTAACATATTGAGCCCATCATTGCTGGTCAGTAAACGAGTGAGCGGCGTGCGGTAAATGTAAGCGGTGTAAGCTGATTAGACGGCACGGCAAAGAAATCACTACGTGGGGGCAGGGCAGCGCAGCACTACCAAGAGCCACCACCACCGAGAGTCAGGGGATGGCTGGGTGGGGAGTGGTTGGGTCTGGTTCGGCTGGTTTGGCCTGGGCTGGGCTGGTTTGGTCTGGTTTAATTGACCTGGTCTGGGCGGGTTAGGTTTGGGTTAGATTGGCTGGTTTGGTCTGGTCTGGTCGAGTGAGGTGAGCACAACCAGACCAGAGGGGGTTTGATTGGTTGGTTGGAGCGAAGGGGTTTTGGGGAGGGAAGGAAGGTTCGGCATTTTTGGTGAGGCGGGGAATTGAAAGCGAAAAAAATCTTGAAAGGTTAGGTACGGTCGATTAGCGCTATGATTTGATGCAGCACGGTGATTGAGCCAAAGCTGAAATGTGGCTTGCGTGCTTTTCAAATCTTGCTTCGAGGCGCCGCGTCCTCTCTACCTCTCATCTCTCTGCACGTTTGGAAGTAGTTAGTAGCAAATAGCCGTTCGGGAAGCACTAATAGTAGGTGTAGTTTGGAGCACATGGAGCAATAGAGCGGAAATGCCATGAGGTGAGGAGCACCATGTTCCTACATACCATGTTACCAGATCCCTTCTTTTAACGTATGTCCTTTTTAGTCGACTCAGAAGTTCCTCGCAGAAGTACCTGCGGCCACCCGCCAGGCTACTAGCACTAGTGATATTAGTACAGAACAATGGCTCAAACGGCATTCTTTACAATCGGATTCGTTACAGGGTAAATAATATGTCTTTAGCGCTGCGCCACATGCCATGGGCGTCGTGAGACGAGTGAGAGGCGGTGAGGACGAGTCCGCTGGGCCCCGTCGCGACCCGCGAATTATTCTCCCTTCAGAATTCACAGGGTACGTGTGCCGTTATCCCCGTGATATCGCTATCCGTTCTAGCATATTGGTTTCATCGTGTATAGTTGTGAGTAGTAGGTGTCCTTCCCCTGAAAGGAGTGGGACGCGGCGGGAAGGGTTTGCTGTTTCCATTCCTTATCCCCGCTATAAAGCCAATCGTTATTGGCGCATCATGTACCGATTCTGGTCGTCGTTGCGGGATTAGTAGTGCGACAGTGCGACACTGTAAGGACATATCGAACTTTCATTCCCTCAAATAGTCTCTTATTCTCGTACGTGTATACCCTACTAAATCGCATACCATTTCCCTTCCCGCCATCCCACCCTTGGGATTGGCCCCACCCTAAATCTTAAATCCTGCCAGACGGTATTTTTAAACGCGGGAATTTGTACTCTTGTCCTATTGCACCCTTGGTATTGTCCTCACCTTTCGGTCTGCCAGGTGGCAGCATGGCAGATCAGGGGCCGGGTCCCGGCTTCCGTGGCCATGACAACTGGCATGCTTGCCGTGCAGCTGGCAGGACCCGGACCTCTGGTAGGTTTGGGGACGCAGGTTTGGGGATGCAGGTGGTTATGTAGGTTCGGAGATGCAGGTGAGGAGCAGTACGTTTGGTGACATGGTTTGGAATGGGTGCTGCGGTGAAAGGAAGGGGGCTGGGCGTGGCTGGCTGAGTGATTACGTTTTCCCTCCCTCCCTCCCCCTCTCCCTTCCCCCCTCCCCCCTCCCTCCCTCCCTCCGTCCCTCCGTCCCTCCCTCGCTCCCTCCCTCCCTCCCTCCCTCCCTCCCTCCCTCCCTCCCTCCCTCCCTCCCTCCCTCCCTCCCTCCCTCCCTCCCTCCGTCCCTCCGTCCCTCCCTCGCTCCCTCCCTCCCTCGCTCCCTCCTCGCTCCCTCCCTCCCTCCCTCCCTCCCTCCCTCCCTCCCTCCCTCCCTCCCTCCCTCCCTCCCTCCCTCCCTCCCTCCCTCCCTCCCCCTCTCCCTTCCCCCCTCCCTCCCTCCCTCCGTCCCTCCGTCCCTCCCTCGCTCCCTCCCTCCCTCCCTCCCTCCCTCCCTCCCTCCCTCCCTCCCTCCCCCCCTCCCCCCCTCCCCCCCTCCCTCCCTCCCTCCCTCCCTCCCTCCCTCCCTCCCTCCCTCCCTCCCTCCCTCCCTCCGTCCCTCCGTCCCTCCCTCGCTCCCTCCCTCCCTCGCTCCCTCCCTCCCTCGCTCCCTCCCTCCCTCCCTCCCTCCCTCCCTCCCTCCCTCCCTCCCTCCCTCCCTCCCTCCCTCCCTCCCTCCCTCCCTCGCTCCCTCCCTCCCTCCCTCCCTCCCTCCCTCCCTCCCTCCCTCCCTCCCTCCCTCCCTCCCTCCCTCCCTCCCTCGCTCCCTCCCTCCCTCCCTCCCTCCCTCCCTCCCTCCCTCCCTCCCTCCCTCCCTCCCTCCCTCCCTCCCTCCCTCCCTCCCTCCCTCCCTCCCTCCCTCCCTCCCTCCCTCCCTCCCTCCCTCCCTCCCTCCCTCCCTCCCTCCCTCCCTCCCTCCCTCCCTCCCACGGCCATCCTCCCAACATGGGTTTCAGGTTTAGATTGCGTTCCGACATTCCTTGCTCCATCCATTCACCCAATCCCCAGGCCACCCCACATGGTTCCGCCTCTCCCCCCATTCATGCTCCGCCAGCCATTATCTGCCCTAAAATACAATCCATCCATACATTCCGCCCTCCTTCCCTCCCTCCCTCCCTCCCCCTCCCTCCCTCCCTCCCTCCCTCCCTCCCCCTCCCTCCTTCCCTCCCTCCCTCCCCCTCCCTCCTTCCCTCCCTCCGTCCCCACCAATCTCCAATTCCCCCAATCCCCAGGCCTCCCCACATGGTTCCGCCTCTCCCCCCATTCGTGCTCCACCAATCATACGCAGGCTGGCATCATCAGGTGGGTCAGCCAGAGCCCAGCACACACGGTTGAGTTGAGAGGGGTTCAGTGCGATTAGTGCTCTACATACATAGTGAGTGAGGCATTGCGAAGGTTGTTTGCGCAAGTTTCGCTGGACTGCCAGCCGTCTGTTTTGCGCGACAATCCCAAGGCTGCGCCATGATGAGCCGAACAACCCTGCTGCGGACAGAAACAGTATCTGTAACAAGGATTCAGCGATAGCAGCCATAGGTGCCAGTGCCCACAGCCAAAGCTACTTCCACAGTTATCGTTCTTTAAGTCTTTATCTTCGTTCCTCGTTCCACAGCTGTAATAACCATTCTTCGTCTCTGCGTTTCTGGATTCCAGGCACTGGTACCTATGGCTGGTTTCTTTCTGGATTCTGGCTTTATATTTCCCTGGTGTGTGAAATACCAACTGAGCACTGGTAGAGTCGAGTAAATGAGTTAACTCTTTGTAACCTTCCTCGTCTTGGTGTTTCAATGTCCATCGTATAAATAAGGAGCGTTCAGTATACTTTCATAGTGCTTCCTGTTGACTTCCCAACGTTCGCCTGGACGTGGAAACTTCAGTTAACAATCAGTCACTCCGTTGACTCAACTCAGAAGTTTCAAGTTACCGAGTCAACCGCGCTGCGGGAGCTACTTCCACAGCCATCGGGAAATACGTCTTCATGCCTTTGCGCATTCGATAACCATTCTTAGTCTCCGCGTTTCTGGATTATAGGCTTTTAATTTCCCTGGTGTGTTTTGAGTGAGCACCCGTAGAGTTGAGTGAGTGAATGAACTCCTTGGAACCTTTATAGTCGACTCAGGTGACAGCCGTTCCTCGTCTCGGTGTTTCTTGTATCCAGCTTCTAAAAAAGGAACGTTCAATTTATTTCCTTGTGCCTCCTCCTGGTGTCTTCACAACATTCGCCTGAACGCGGAAATTTCAGTTTACCACCGTCAGTCAGTCCATTGACTCGAGTCAGAAGTTTCAAGTTATCGTCAACCCGACTGCGAGAGTCGCTATAGGCGCGTCAACATGGGCGGTAAGGCTTTCTGCGAGAGTCGCTATAGGCGCGTCAACGTGGGAGGTAAGGCTTTCTCAACTGATAAGTTACCATGGTGAGTGTCCTAAAGGTCAATACTTTCTAATATCTGTTTTCTGCCCTTTCTTTAAGCACCCCAGGCAGTGTCGACATGAAAGCTGTTCTCGTTTAACAATCGCTTTACTCCCCTGCATCACTGCAGACCAACCCACCACCATAACCTTCCCTCGCTTATACCCATGCCACCTGGCCACGTCGTGGCCATCCGTCCCCTTCAACAAATCCCTGTACTCACACCAGTCCCCAACCCACCATACCCCTTCCTCGCTCATAACCATGCCACCTGTCCACCTGTCCACCTGTCCACCTCACCATCATCATCCATCCCGGCACCTCAGAATCACCATACCCTCCCCTCCCTCGCTCCTACCCATGCCATGCCACCTGTCTAGCTCATCACCATCCGTCTGCTTCATCAATCCCTCTTTATCTCCCTGCTGCGTCTGTGCGTTTCCTTCCTCCCTCCTTCCCCTTTCGGCCCTCCGTCCCCTCTCTCCTTCTCCCTCCTTCCGCCTGCTGCCCTCACTCCTCTCCCACTTCCCCCTTGCGTTCCCATCCCACTGCCACCGACCATGCCTGCTGCCGCCCCGCCACCACCCGGTCTCTTCTCAGCGTGAGTTTCATTCCATCACCCTCTACTTGCTTTCCTGCTCCCCTGTCCCTTTTCCTTCCCTTGCCTCTTATTTCTCCTTCCCATTGCCTCTTCTGTCTTCTTCGCTTGTCTCTCCTGCCCTTATCTCCGACGTGATCTGCTCTCTCTCTCCTACAAGCCTCAACTCAACTCTTCTGCTCCTTCCCTCCTTCCTCCCCGTTCTCTCCTGTGCTGTCCGCTTGTACCGTTTTACACGGGAAACTGATAGCCCTTGTGCCTGGTCGCGCTTGCTCTCTTGCTTCTGTGTGATGCTATTCATTCTCTTTCTAGTGCCTCTCTTTACTCTCTCCTCTTGCCTCCCTCTCTCTCCTTTCTCTCTCCTTTCTCCAATCTCTCCTCTCTCCTCTCAGACTCGCCGGCTTGGCGTTTCTATTTTCAATGGGCATCGGCTTGCAGCTGCTGGTACGTCATGCTACTCAACCACCGTGTGCCGTCTGGTTCTGAAGTCACGGGTTCAAGTCTTGCTGTTGTCGAATGTTAAACTGTTTAATGCTGAGTCGACTCGGGGAGTGTTTCTCGTTTCGGAGCGCGTTCACCTTCTCGGTGTGCATCGCCTGCATTGGCTTGCAGTTGCTGGTATGGTAGCCCATGCTGCTCACATCGTGCCGACCGTTTTCTTGTGTGAGTTTGTTTGTTTCTTTGTTTGCTTGCTTGCTTGTTTCCTTCCTCTCCGAATTCAACAATGGTTGTGCATCGTGTGTATTCCTGTCCTGTCGCCGTGTGCCTCTGCAGGGATGTGTGACCTACAACAACTGGTGGCCAATGCTTTCAGGTACAATCCCCATCAATTATTTCCCTCCCCTTCACTCCTCGCCTCCCCTTACCCCACCATCCCCGTACCCAACATTTTGCCAGCTCTCGTTTGCCAGACCTGACACTGCCCATGACATGCCTCTTCTGCCACAAACCCGCAACACCCCTCTACACCACTGTACATCCCCCCAGCTTTCATGTGCCTGATACTTCCCAGCTTTTGAATCCAACCCCCAGCATTCCTTCCCCCCTCTTTATCGCGTATCGTGGGCGTGTGAGGAGGAACGGAAGGCGGTGCGAGCGAGTCTACCGGGAACCGCCGCCACTCGCAAGTCCATATCATATGAAATCGACCAGGTATGTGTGCCGTAACGTTATCCCCGGATATTATAACCCGTCATAACATTTCTCGTTTTCGCGTTCGTGGGCGTCACGCGAGGAGTGAGAGGCGGTGAAGGCTACTCGCGAGTTTATATCCTTTGGAATTATCTGGGTAGGCGTTAGGTGCACCTGTATCCCCGCTGTAGTTAAATCCGTGATCCATCATCGCGTTATGTAAGTTTGGGTCGTTTCCGGTACTCGCAATCTTCTAAACCTTCAGCTTTGCCTGACACGCGTTATAGCATCACCCGTCATCGCATTATGTGAGCGTCCGGAAGAATTAGAATTCAGGGAGAGAATCCTTGTTGAGACTTTTTAAGAAACTAATCCCGTTCCCTTCCCACACCCCAACCTTGGGATTGTCTCCGTTTTTCCGGTCCGCCAGATCTGGAACATGTTGATATACCAAAATTTGAACCATGTTCCCTCCCTGCACCCCACCCTTGGGATTGTCCCCACTTCCGAACAGCCTGGTTCACGACAACTCATCAACACGCGAAACCCCGAACCCAGTTTCCTCCCTCCCATCCACGGTCCACCCAACCCTTGGGATTGTCGCCATCTCTAGGCAAGCCTGCCAGGTTTGAGACATCTCAAGTACGTTGTCATCGTTATGTTGGTCAGTCAGCCTCAGCCATATCCAACAACAAAGGCCCAAACGCATGGGTGTTGGTCATCGCACACAGCATGTCTGATTCGCCACGTGTAGCTGTGCGCATGTGAAACACCCAAGTAATTATACCAGCGATACGATTGTTGAGTTAATGCGTACTGTGCCAATCATATGCCATCTCAATTGAACCAATGCAAATATCATTCATTCGCTTCTCCCCCCTGCTTCCGTGCCCTGCCTGCCACGTGTAGGTTCGTGAGTAATCTGTGACAATCTCAGTCCAGCTCTGGGTCAGCTGGTGGTGAGGGTGGCTGGTTGTAATTGGGGCTAGAATGTCTTTCCCGTCAATGAGTTTGGTAGGGTAACAGTCTAACACAGTGTAACACGGCAATCCAGCTCTCGGTCGGTCGGTGGTTGGTGGCGGCTCACATGGGAAAGCGGTTACACTAGTAGCTCGTCATGTGGGCATCCCACGACTGCTGGTGGACGTGAGGCATTGTAAGTGACGTTTGGATGTGCTTTTGCGTGGCATGACCAACTGCTAGTGTAACTGCTTTCAACCGCTTTAAGATCCAGTGGTTGATGGTTGGGGGCTAGTTGGTGGGGGTGGTTGGTTGGGATGGGGTGGTTGCAGCATCTAAGGGCATTCGTAAGGAAGGCTTCTGGCAGGTGCTGTCACTCTGTAACTTGTACAAGCACATCTGCTTTTGTGACTGCATTTGAGGCACATCCTTCCGTCCGCTCCCACTCTCCATCAAGTTTCCAGCCCTGCCCCACAATCGCCTGCTGCAGCAGCCAGTGTTGAAACTCCCCATTCCATCCATACTTCCCCCCTCCCCTTACCCCCCCTTCTCCCACTTAACCCTCCCCCCATCCTCTTCCCCGTCACCCCTACCTGACGCCCTTCCACCTTTCCGTCTTCAGCTCTGGCCCACATTCGCCTGCTGCAGCGGCCAGTGCTGTGAGTGGGTGTGTTTCAGGTGAGCGCCATGGATGCGGATGGTGGTTGGGGAGAAGGAAAGGAGACAGAAAGTGAGGGAGGGAGAGTAGGGAGGGAAGAGAGTGAGGGAGGAGGCTACAGGTGCTGCATTGTTGGGAAAAGCAGCAGCATCAATGGCAGGGAAAAGGGTACCGTATCGGTCGCAGCAATGCCGACAGCTGCACAAGTGGTGGCACAAGTGGCAGCAGAAGCAGCGGGGAGAGAGGGGATACGGGAGAAGCTGCTGGGTCAAGTGGTGGCCCTGTTGCTGCTTCAGAGTACCATTGGGCAGCCTTAAAAGCACTCAATTGCCTTAATCTGACCGCACGTTGCTTATTTTTCCCTCTTCTGCTTTTGATATTTGTTTTTTTACTCGACACCAGGGAGGTCAGTTTGGAGGTCACCTTTCAAACATTTTGTGGTCTCTGTAACTTTTGACAAATTAATGTGGTACGGTACAGTACTTCCATATTTCCACCTTGCAACCAGAATTCGGTGGTTTTGCTCGCTGAAGCACGATTCTGGCCAGAGAAAGCAGCTACAGTACCAGGCGGCGGTGCGAGCGAGCATGGAAGGGTGTGGGTGCGGTTGAAATGGGTCACCCTGCGTAGACGTAGAGCGTAGTTTTCTAGCTTGAAGGAGCATCCCTGTTGCTTGCTGTTGTAGATAATTACAGTGACACCAATATTTAGAGATATATACGTACAGAAATCTATATTAGTAGGGGTGGTGATGGTATGCACAAGCAGGAATGGTTCTAAGCACAGGCAATTTGTCGTTCCCTGGTTTGAAAGAGCCTCATCTCGCTTCAGCTTGCTCGGAGTGGAAACAAAAGCCCCTGACAGTCCATTTCTTTGCCAGTGTCCCATCGAAATGGACCTAAGCACAGGCAGGCAACGGTTTCCCGCATAGATTGTCGTTCCCTGGTTTGAATGAGCCTCTCTTCAGCTTGCTCAGAGCAGCCGGAACAGCCCCTGACAGCCGATTCCCCGCCAGCAGCACTTCCCTTATGCTCGCCGGCCAAACCGCGGGAATGGAACCTGTGAGGTTGTTGTATGACAATCTGAGTGCTAGCAGATGCTTCATCTTGCTCACACCGGCTGGGATCGCTCCCGTGAGGGTGTTACTGTAGAGGGACAGGCGCTTGAGGCGATTAAAGGAGCTGATTGTAGCGGGGATGGAGCCAGAGAGGCGGTTGGAGGAGAGGTTGAGGTAGGCGAGGGAAGCGGAGCAGGAGGGGGAGGAGAGCGGGGTGGGCGGGCCGGAGAGGGCGTTGGAGGCAAGGTTGAGGAGGCGGAGGCGTTGATTGCTCTGGCAGAAGGTGGGGATGGGGCCTGGGGGGGAGGGGATGGGAGGTAGGAGCAAGCACAGGGATAGAGCAGAGAGGAGGGAAGAGTCAAATCAAGGGGTGAGTAAGTGAGGAGGCGGAGGGCCTGATTGCCCTGGCAGAAGGCGGGGATGGGGCCTGAGAGGGATGATGGGGCGAGGGACGAGGAGCGAGGAGGGGAGAGACAGAAAAGTAGGAAGAAAGAGTAGTGAGCAAGTGAGAAAGATGAGGGCTTGATTGCCCTGGCAGAAGGCGGGGATGGGGACTGGGGGGTGGGGGGAAGGGGAGGTAGCGTAGGAGGAAGTTAACTGATGGGGCCTGAGGGAGTGGGCAGGGGAAGCAGAACGAGAAGAGTGGAGGATTGAACAGAAAACCCAACAGAGGAAAACAAATGAGTGGTTCTGAGTGGTTGGTCCCAACAGAAAGACACACGTCTGAATCACACATTTTTTGTTTCGGTAGACTTAACTGATCTGCAGTTTTCCAGTCAACTCACCTGTCAGAGAGTTTCCCCTGAGGTCCAAGTATGTAAGCTCGGGACGGGTGAGGCCTTGGGGAATGCTCCCTGTGAACTTGTTGTATCCCAGGTCCAGAGCTCTGGTAAACCCGGGCAGGTTTGAAAACGGCTGCAAGCTGCCCGAGAAATTGTTGCCGCTTAAAAGGATGTCAGTCGGATAAGTTTCGGAATTGAAACAGTTTGCTGGAACGGCTCCAGTCAGGCGATTGCGAGAAATAACAGTTCTTGCCTGGTTGCCCTGACGGCACAAAATCTGCGGGAATGAGCCGGAGAACAAATTGTCGGAAACGTCGATGAACACCGCGGCGCTGAACTGGATCGAGTTGAAGTTTCCAGAAAGCCTGTTCCCGCTTACGCGAAAAACAGACGACTTTACTTGCTGCCCGCTCAGGTCGCCGGAAAGCCGGTTCCGATCAAAAATTATGTCAAGCGATTCCTTTTCCAGCAGAGCAGGGGGGATATTCCCGGTTAGCCGATTCGAGTTCAACAGTAACCCTTGAAGGCTCGGCAGCATCGCGAGGGCAGGAGGGATCGGCCCGGACAGCCTATTATAACCGAGATCCAGATTAGATAGCGAAGTCGCCATGTATGCAGAAGGATCTTGTGGTAACCCGCCGGAGAAGAAATTCTGGGCGGCGGACACATCGAAAAGCCGTGGCATGCTTAAAATGGCGACAGGAAGTGGGCCAGCGAAACAGTTACTGCTCATCTGGAGATAGGAGATTTGTGTCAGCCGGGAAAACGATAGCGGGACCGAGCCAGCAAGCCAGAGATTCTGTAGACCGAGATCGGTGAGACCCGTTAACTGGCCGATCGAATCGGAGAGGGTTGCGGGGAAAGTTCGTCCGGGTTTGCGCGCAGTACTGTTGCAAAGGCGAGGCGTGCGTGGGGGCGGCCGCTGGATGGAAGGGGTGACGTAGACGTTGAGGTATAACCGCTGAACAGCGCCGCCGTCCGCGGCGCAATACACGCCGTACCACGTGCACGCGTTCGACTGGTTCGCCGGGATAGGTATCCGCGCGGCCGTGAAGATCGCCGTGAGAGCCGCCGTGTCAGCCGCCGAAGCCTTCGGCGCGGCTGCGGAGGATGCGCGCACCGCTGAACTCGCAGACCGGCTGTAGTAGTACCCGCGTCCCCCCGCGGATGCTCTCCCCGCCCGTCGCGCGGCGAGAAGTTGCGCCACGCGAGGCGGAACCATCCGCGCGGAGGATCCGTGGCGAGCACTATGCAGCTTCGATACAAGCTGGCTCGATATGGGCCGGAAGGCCGACGTCGGTGAGCAGTAGAGGAGTAGCAGGAGGAAGCACGCTGTCGTACTAACGTGGGCGCGCAACGCGTTAAGAACGGTGATGGAACGCGCGACTCGAGGGTAATAACGTACGTCCGCCATGTGCGACTTCTAGCTCCCGAAAATTGTTTCCCGTGAGAAACCAAAACCTAACGAGTTCGGAGTGAAACCTGAAATGCGTTTCCAGCGAGGAAGACTCTCCCTTTGGAAGGAAACGATTAGAGGCAATACGAAACTGAGCTTTCAAGATAAGATGGCGGTAAGCTGTCCTGGAGGTGGGTGCTTGACATCCCTAAGTGTCCTACGTGGCAGTTTCCACGTCGGGAGACACGCACGTGCCATGAGATATTCGCGCAGACTGCCGTCCACACTGAGCCAGTCATTGCGGGATTAGGTAAACGTAAGTGACGTCAGAGTGATATTTGAAAGGCAATGAAATGAATGGCTGCTGCTACAGCAGCAATATGGACGAATGGGATGGACGCGACGGCACCGCGAGCAACACAGGCTGGGCTTGGTAGGCATTCACGGTTTAGATTAGGACAGGCACCACTAGCGAGGGGCACCAACACTGTACTGAGGACGGCGGGTGAGTGGAAGTGGGAGGGGTTGAGTTGCTGTGATTGGGTTGGTTTGAGTTGGGTTGGGTGAGGTGAGGACACCCAAAGCGAGTGGTTGAAGCACCTTGGAGAGATCGAACCGATGAGGAAGCGTGGCATTCTGGGCAGAGTTGGGAAGCATTTGCGCGGCCAAGTTTGATTCGCCAGGACTCGGAACTGGTGGGTAACCTGGTTACTGAAATCTGAAAAGGGCTCACGAAATGTTGCAGTGATTCGTCGCTGTCTGCGACGAATCTGTCAAATATGTTGTGTGGACTTCGATTTGACCCCATTTTTGGCAATGCGGAGCACTGCCTATAAATGGCCTCGATATAAGTTAAACAATAGGAATTTACGATACAGATGCCAACAGGCAGCCAGATTTGAGATGCATCCCCACGATAAGAGATGCACCACGCGATATACTCGAATCTAAATTCTGATCCAGCATGTTAGGATTTTGGCGTTGAGAATTGTTGTAGTTGACAAGGTTTAAAATAATTTAAAGCATCCAGCTAGGCAACACGAAAACATATTAAAAAAAAATGCACTCACTGGTTCGTGGCCTCACTGGAACTGCAGCGTTGACGGGGGCAAATCGTGGCTGAACGGCTGTGTTAGAGGTGGCGATTGCCTCACCGTCCTCTACGAGTTCACCCGTTGCACCAGCAATTGTCTCACTCGGATTACTTGGTGGGGGGGGCTGTGTTTCAGCTGTGGCTGGTGGCATAGTTGGAGCTGGAGGTGGCTTGATAGCCTGGTGGTTCATCCATGCGAGAAAGTTTAGGTAGTTGTTGTCTGTGACCTGGGGGGCAGTGGAGGTGGTTGGTCGTTTGGAGGGTACTATTGGTGCAGGATCGAGGGTAGCATCACTTCTAGGGTCGCCATCTGTCGCACAAGTGCGTTTTGCGCCCAAAACGGTTGGCGCTTGCGACATTCTGGAAAAAAAGCCCTCTGACTGGTGGCCTGCTTGATGGCCGTGAATGGCCTTGAATGACTCTGGTCATATAGTCCTCCCTGGCTCAATGGGGCGGTTTCTACAATTCCATTCAGAAACAGGTATATCAGTCTGTGATTGTTTTTGTTTATTGTTGTTGTGCCTAGAATGCCAAAACGACAAATACAGATACACGAACTGACATAGCACGTCTGTCTTTATCATCCTGTGCTCCAACACTCTTCAACATGTATATTTATTATAAACAGAATCAAAAGCAGAATCTGTTTAATAGCCAGCTATCATCCCCTATGAACGGCTGCACTAGATGCACCGCTCTCTTGATGCTTGCTGTCTCTATTACCCGATAACGATCTTCGCTGGCCGCCCACTTCAGCTTCACACACTTCGTTACCGGGTCTAGGGCCCTAGTAGCCTCATAGTATTTTATGAATGCATAGTCTTTCTTGGTCCCATTCTCTACGATTCGAAAGAGAAGTAGTAACTTTGCATACCACTCTGAATCACCCTCCTCTTTCTCATTCCCTAGCACAGCTACATCTGAGAACCATGGCCTTCCATGGAAGGAAGGGAGCGCACGGATGCGATGAGGAAGGCGAGAGAACTCCGCATCTACGGCTGCAGGCATTGCTAGCTCGGTGTGAACCTGGATGTGAGTGATATCCTCGCCGCTACACTTTGGTGCAATGTTCAAGGCACCCCTGAGATATGGCAGCTCTTCCCGTAGAGCTGCGGCATAAGCCTTATCCCTTTTGCCATCTGAAGTTTGTGGTTGTGGCACTTCCGGGGCCTTTGGTACCACCAACTTCCAACTCGTGCGAGACAAGAAGCGCGTGCCTGTTCGTTGGGCCATGAGCATGGCCGTGTCATACCTTTTCCTCTTGCCCAAGAGTGGTGCAAGTGGCTGCAAGCGCAGGCGCTGGACCTCGGAGCTAACAATGCATCCGGGCAAGGAAATGCTCAACGCGCTGAGAAGATGCTCAACGGGCTTACACGTGCACAATGCAGATACCACTCAAAATATGCTATCAATGCATCCATTTGTGGCTGCGTGACGAACGTGGTAACAAGGAAAGGGAGTACTTGCATCACACTACGATGCTCGTATGCTTGGTAATTGGCACCTTTAGAGAAGTATGTGCCGGCTGGTAGGCGCATGAACGCACTCCTAGTGATGCTACGTAGATACTTTAGCCTCCTATCCAGCAACTTCCTACGTGCATCGGTCATTTTGGTGTCAGGTGTGTCGCCACCTTGACGAATGCATTCCACTATGTGCTCCAACAACCCCAAATCAGCTTGGTGCATGATGTCGGGCATGACACAAAGGTAAGGGTTGAGGAGGGGTTCAGATTCCCAACGCCATCCCCATAGGCAACACTCGACGGGATGCATTGACAAGTCATCGTGTTGCGTTGCATCATACGCACCACTCTTTATCAATCGGTACAATGACCGATGGACATGGGGTGTCCTATCCACCATGCCACGCTTAAAATGAGCTAACTCATCCCGTTTAGTGAGGCAAATGGAGCATGGTCGAGCTGTGCTTCCCGACTTTGTGCACGTGACCTTGCACGATTCAGGATAGTCACACACATACGCATAAAGAGCAGGCCATGCGTTCAAGGTTTCACCATTGGACCCCTGGATTTTAATACCCATGTGCGACGCACGCTTGAGTGGGGCTAGCACTTGGTTGAGCACATGTTGGAACACAACAAGCTTATCCAACGAGTCGTATTCTGCTGTAAATTCCGGGAGGAGAGCGAGAAGCACGTGCCCGTGCTTCTTCCACCTCTCTTCCCTTAGAATATTGGCCAGCGTCATGTATAAGGGGTGGCCTTTTGCCTTACCCCGCTGGTCCATGTGCGTCTCATCCGACGCTAGTATTAGAGCAGCGACAAAGCCATCCACCATCTCTTTGCGAATGTTCTCTTGCATTTTTAACCACCAATCTCCCGTTTCTGGATTGGTGTAAACATGCTTCACCCCGGGGTTGCGAGCTGTTGCCTCCTTGACAATCTTACCTTGAAGCTTCGGATGTGTGAGAAGCTCTTTCAGCGCTTGAAGGCCATCACAATAGTGATATTCAAGCCATGACTTTGTCCCAACACGCACTCTGGCCTTCTTCCAGCCCCTCGACGTGTCAGGAACCCTCGACTCAGCATACTTCTCAACATCACGAATGCTTTTCCATTGGGCAATGTCAGACAACCGTGTGCTTGCATGACAAAGGATTGCCAACAAGGTAGCAATCTGGCTTTGTGACAGATTCTCCATCAACAACCAGTGTGCAAGGGCATCCATGAAGTTGAATGGACGTTCCTCGACATCATCAGACCCGGGAATCCCGAGGCCTTCCGTCTCAGCAGGTGCTGCCCCCCCAGATGTACCCTCACCCCCCCCCCCCCCCCAACCTCATCCGGCATGTTTATAGCAACAGGTACATCACAAGGCATGCAATCCTCATCATCATCACTATCTGAGCTACTGCCACTGTCACTATCTACATCCGAAACAAAATCTGGTGGCACCATGCTATCCTGCAAAGTTTCAGCAGCATCACCCACAACAGGAGGGTCATCTAACTCCACGGGCGTAAGGTTGAATGATGGGATGTGCGCCGCTGGCGCTCGGTGTTGTCGCGGTAGAAGGTACGGATTGCTACCACTCGTAGATGCAACCGCAGGCAGTCTCACGGCCCTGCACGCCTGGCTTCGCTGGTGTGACGCAAGAGCCTGTGCCGTGTCAAAATATGTCTGTGCTGGGCATTTTCTACACGTGTATGCCATCTGCAAACAAGACAGTGAACCACGTGCGATGGATAATGGAACAGATGCAGAGAGGAAGAGGCAGTGAGAGGATAGGAGGAGGGGGAGGAGGTGAGGGAGGCAGAGAGGAAGAGGCAGTGAGAGGAGAGGAGGGAGGGGGAGGAGGAGAGGGAGGGAGAGAGAGGGAGAGCCCGGGAGAGGAGAGGAGGGGGAAGGTGGGGCAGAGAGGAAGAGGGCGGAGAGGAAGAGAGTGGAGAGGAGGAGAGCGGAGGGGAGGGAGGAGGAGGGGATAGGAGGGAGGAGGGGGTGAACGAGTGGGACAGAGAGGAAGAGCCCGGAAGAGGAGAGGACTCGGGGAGCGACGAGAGAGGGGGCAGTGTGAGGGAGGGAGAGAGGGGGCAGTGTGAGGGAGGGAGAGACGGAGAGAGAGAATGCTACGGTGGGAGAGCGAGGGAGGGACGGAGAGAGAGAATTGGACGGTGTGAGAGCGAGGGAGGGACAGAGAGAGAGAATTGGACGGTGTGAGAGCGAGGGAGGGACAGAGAGAGAGAACTCGACGGTGTGAGAGCGAGGGAGGGACAGAGAGAGAGAATTCGACGGTGGGAGAGCAAGGGAGGGACAGAGAGAGCGAATTCGTCGGTGAATGCGACGGTGGGAAAGCACGGAGAACGGACGGGAGCGACGGAGCGCGCAATTGCGAAGAGTAAGGCACGATTGCGAACGAGAGAGCACACGGTAGAGACGGAGAGGGCAAATCCGACCGAGCGAGAGCACCCTTAGCGAGCGAGAGAGTCGAAACGAACGAGAGAGTGAACGGCAGCGACGGAGAGAGTGAATTCAAAAGGGAGTGATCACGGGAGCGACGGAGAGATCTAATGCGACTGACGGAGAGCAAGGGAGCGAGAGAAATAGAGAGATACCGGGAACGAGAGCGGCCGGGATAGAGAACGGGAGCGAAGGAGATGGCGAATGCGACGGTGGGAGACCTTGGGAGCGACAGAGGGAGAATGCGACGATGAGAGAGCACGGGAGCGACGGCGAGAGAGAATGCGACGGTGGGAGAGCGGACGGGAGGGAAGGAGCGCGCGAATGAGGTACGGACAGCGCACGGGAGGGACGGAGATAACGAACGTAAGGGAGAGCGGACGGGAGGGACGGAGCGCGCGATTGCGGAAGGGAGAGCACACGGAATGGACGGAGAGAGCGAATGCGAGAGGTAGAGCGGACGGGAGGGACGGAGCGCGCGAATGCGGAAAGGTAGAGCGCACGGAGAGACGGAGAGACCGAATGCGAGAGGTAGAGCGGACGGGAGGGACGGAGCGCGCGAATGCGGAAAGGTAGAGCGCACGGAATGGACGGAGAGAGCGGATGCGAGAGGTAGAGCGGACGGGAGGGAGAGAATGCGACCGTGGGAACGCACGGGAGGGACGGAGAGAGAGAATGCGACCGTGGGAACGCACGGGAGGGACGGTGCGCGAGAATGCGACGGTGGCAGAGCAACGGACGGACGGAGCGTGTGAATGCGACCGTGGGAACGCACGGGAGCGACGGAGAGAGAGAATGCGATCGTGATAGAGCGGACGGGAGTGGCGTAGTGCGTGAAGGCGACCGGCGTATGCGGACGGGAGGGACGGAGCGCGTGAATACGATAGGGAGGGCGGACGGGAGGGACGGAGCGCGGAAATACGAAACGGATAGCGAAAGAGGTTGACAGATCGTAAGAATGCAAAACGGAGAGCGGACGGGAGGGACGGAGCGCGCAAACGCGTAAGAGAGAGATCACGGGATGGACAGAGCGCGCTAATGCGACCGGGGGTGAGCACGGTAGCGACTGAGATGGCGAATGCGAACGAGAGAGCAAACGGCTGAGACGGAGAGAGCGAATACGACCGAGCGAGAGCACCGTAAGCGAGCGAGAAAGATCACGGCAGCGACGGAGAGAGTAAATGCAAAAGGGAGGGATCACGGGAGAAACGGTACGCGCAAATGCGACTGTGAGAGAACAGGGGCCTACACGGAGAGAGCGAACGCGAAAGGGAGAGAGCACGGGAGCGACGAAGCGCGCGCATGCGACCGGGGGAGTACACGGGAGAGTCTGAGGTGGCGATTGCGAATGGGGGAGCATACGGTAGAGACGGAGAGAGCGAATGCGCCGAGAGAGAGCACGGGTGCGCCGGAGAGGGAGATTGCGAAAGAGGAAGAGAGCAAGAGAGACGGATAGATCGAATGCGAACGAGAGAGAGCGCAACATAGACGGAGAGAGTGAATGCGAGGGAGAGGGAGAACGGGACCACGAGGGAGCGCGAATGCGACAGAGAGAGAATGGGACCGAGGGAGAGCGTGAATGCGAGGGGGAGATACAGACGGCGGGAGCTAGTGATCGCGAGCATGCGATAACAAGAAGACGGGAACGACAGCGCTCCCGAAAGCAAGGGGTAGAGAGAGAACATGACCGGGGGCGCGCGCGATGATGTTAAGATGAGCTCACCTTATTTGAGCTAAGCAAGGTGTAAGCGCTTGAAAAACTACCGCCACCAACGTGTCCCCTTGAAACCCGGTTCGTACCCACCTCCCCGCGAGCAAGGCCGTAGAGCCACTATCAGAACAGCAGTGCTCATGCAAAAGTGTAGGTGATAAGCGGAACGGAATGCCAACTATCGGCAGCAGAAAGTCGAGAATGGCCAGCAAGAGATTCTGAAATGACGAGCGATCTAACGAGTGAGTGATGGATGTGGGACTCCTGAGAGAGAACCACAAACGGTCGGAATGCTTCGAGGGGCGAAAATCGCGAGAGGGAACGGTCGGAATGCTCCGAGGGGCGAAAATTGCGAGAGGGGTGTCTACCGGTAACAAACAACTCGCGAGTCGCAACGCATGCCTGAAATCTCTCGTCACCACGCGGCAAAAAGCCTGAATGAAAAAAGCAAAAACCGCTGGCATTGCAATTCGCGTAAGAAACAGACGGGCCGCGAATTGCTTCCTTCCCAACTCCCGCAATTTTCGGCGCGAATGAAAAAAACGGACATGTGTCCAACAACGAGCTATAGAGTGTCATGCCTGAATATATAAAGCAAACTCATTTATAATTAAGTGTTCTATATCTAAAAAGACATCATATTAGTCAACTGTACCCACAATTTAACATATATAAATTCTATACGAAATGAGAAAACATACCCGTCGAAACGATTGAGATAAATTGCATATATTCACTCCATAAAAATAATCCGACCTCATGTTGACAACCAGTGAGCTTGAAATACACACATTTACATTTTCAGGAAATCACTTCATACAGATTCGTTTCGAGATACACAGCAACACGCAACATGGAAAGTTGAAACGCGTCATAGCTAAATCGGAAAAACAACACAGGCCGCGCGTGCACCAAGCCAAGCCGTAGATGACAACATTCCGTCAGCAAAGGTTTCGGGAACAGTAGCGACAATCCTCCCCACACATACTCAACCGTATAGAGCCACCAACTCAGCATTCACACCAACTTCCAACCACTAACACTCCCTTACGTCCGACCGCCAAACCTAAACCGTTCATCGTCATTGATGACGATGAGAACGGGCACGAACTTCACCCCCGACTGGATTCGACAATCCCACTTTTTTCCGATGAACCCTCGTGTCCTCATCTCCTCATATTCGCGTATTCATGCCTTTGCGACCTGTGAAACCGCAAACCCTATTTCGATCTGTGGACGTGACAGCTGGCACATGCTCGCCGTGCAGCTGCAGGACCCGGACCGCTTGTAGGTTCGGGGGTGCAGCTTTGGGGTTGCAGCTTCATAGTGTACGTTTGGAGACGTTGGTTTGGAATGGTCGTTTTCGGTCAGGACTGGTTCAGATCCTTTCTCTCTCTCTCTCTCTCTCTCTCTCTCTCTCTCTCTCTCTCTCTCTCTCTCTCTCTCTCTCTCTCTCTCTCTCTCTCTCTCTCTCTCTCCTTATCCCAACTCCCCAATCTGTTCTCTCTTATCCCTGCTTCCCTCCCTCCTTGTGCCCTTCCCTCCCAACAGAACCTCGTCTCCTTCCTCGCCTTCCGAGCATGCGAGCAGCTCCCGTGGTTTGACCCACCAGATAGAGGCCAATGCAAAGGGTGCTTTGACCCCAAGGCCGCAGCCGGTGCCGACACGACACCAGCCTGCCTGTCCCACCTCTCCGTCTTCTCCACCACAGCCGCCTCGGCTTCGACACAAACGACTGCTTTGACCCGTTTGACCCACCAGATACGGGCCGATGCAAAGGGCAGTGGCTTGACCCGTTTGACCCACCAGCCTGCATCTGGTGTCGGTACAGGTACAGGTCACAGCCGGTACAGACACGTCACCAGCATGCCTGTCTGTCACCAGCTGGCCAGCCTGCCTTGTACCGACACGACACCAGCCTGCTTGTCCCGCCCCTCCGTCTTCTCCACCACAGCCGCCTCGGCTTCGACACAAACGACTGCTTTGTCCGGCAGAGAAGCATGGAAGCAGGGAAGCAGGGAAGCAGAGAAGCAGGGAAGCAGAGAAGCAGGGAAGCAGAGAAGCAGGGAAGCAGAGAAGCAGGGTGGGGGATGTGAGCGAGTTTAGAGTCGACTGAAAGCGCGGCGCTTCCTGCTGTCGGCTCCGGCACATACGACTACTTTGTCCTTTCTTTTGGAAGTGAAGAATGACGAGAGGACACTCCCTCCTGAGGCTCCCTGCAGGAGGATGGCAAGTGAAGCCAAGTGAAGGCGTTTGCTCTGGCTGTGGTGCTTGGGTTCAAGGTTCAAAAATACGACCGTATTTTTGAAATTGCTCTACGATTTCCCACAGGAGCCTATAATAGGATGCCGTATTTTACGGTAACATTTCAAAAATACGACCGTATTTTTTAACCTTGCTTGGGTTGAAGCATCTTCCTTTAAGGCGCCTAAAAAAAAATAGTATTCTGAGGCGCCTCAAAAGAGTATGGGAAGTGAAGCCAAGTGAAAGCGTTTGCTCCGGCTGTGGTGCTTGGGTTGAAGCGTCTACTTCTGAGGCGCCTAGACGAAAAGATACTTTTGAGGCGCCTAGAAGAAAAGATACTTTTGAGGCGCCTCCAAAGTGGATGGAAACTTAAGCTAAGTGCAGGCCCTTGCTTTGGCAGTGATGCTCAGGTTGAAGCAGGGAAGCAGAGAAGCAAGGGGAGGAGGGGGGTGGGGTGGGGGTGAGCGAGTTTAGAGTCCACTGAAAGCGCGGCGCTTCTCCTTCAGCCCCCCTTCCCCCGTTTGGCTGCCTGCTGCGGTGGCGTGGAAGGCACTACAGACCAGCAAGGGGGGGAAGAGGGGGGTGGAGGGGGTGTGTGAGCGAAACTAGAGTCGATCCAAATTGTGGCGGTTCCTGTTGCTGATGCTGATTGCAGCTCCCTCCCGCGGCTGCCTGTTGCTGTGGCGGCAGGCGCTGCAGCCGGTAGGAAAGCAGGGGGTGTGCGTCAACATGATCGACGGGTATGGCCGGGAGCATAACAAACAAGCAGCTGTTTGCTGCTGCTGCTGCTGCTGCTGGGCTGCGGAAAACCCTCAAAGGCTTGAAAGTTGTCGGCGGTCATTTGTGCTTCTCTGGGGACTGCTTTCCTGATGCTGCCACTGTTGATGAGTTGTTCTTGTAACGTTTAGTTGGGTTGGGTGTGTTTCGTAACCCCTTCATCTGCATCATGTCCCCCGTTCGCCAACATGATAACCATCTGACAAGACCTCTGTTTCTCCCCATCCCTATATTGGAGTTGCTTTTTAGAATTCTCGAAACCATCTGCATCATGTCCCCCTAATCTGCATCATGCCCCCCTCATCTGCATCATGTCCCCCTCATCTGCATCATGTCCCCCTCATCTGCATCATGTCCTCCGTTCGCCAACATGATAGCCGTCTGACAGATCCTCGTTTTCTCCTCACTCCCCTTACCTCTCGCCGTCCCAGCCCTCCTCTCTTCAACCCCCCTTTCCCTGCTGCCCTACCAATCTGCAACCGGTTCCGATCAGAACCAATGTTGATGCGATGGCCGTTCGTACTCCAATCCCCACCCCCCTGCTTCACCCCCCTGATAGAATTGGATCTGAACTGATTGATTGATAAGGAAGGCACTAGGCCTTAAGTACAAACACGGTTGGGTTGAGCAAAGCTAGGGAAAGGATGGGATGGGAATCCTAGAAAATCTCCAATTGGTGAGTTGGCAGATTTGCAGGATTACGAGGGAATCCCAACCAGATAGGGTTGGGATTACAAATCTACACCCAACCTACAAAGTAACCTAACCGATATAGAATATAGTACAAAGTGTTGACTGACTATTTCTAACACACCCCCTAGGCTGACAACACTTCAGCCACATGGCGGCCCAACACCCATGGACGAGAGGAGGCGGTAGTGGTCTTGGCGAACAAGAGACTTGGTAAACAAGTCAGCAAGGTTGCAGTCGGAGGCAATGTGTTCAGCCTTCAGCTGCTCGCGCTGCACCAGCTCACGAAGAAAGTAGTGACGGACATCAATGTGCTTGGTGCGGCCGTGGAAGACGGGGTCCTTTGTGAGATGAATGGTGCTCTCGTTGTCACACCAAAGCGTTGGGGCTGGTTGAGGATACCCAAGTTCTGCCAGCAAGAAGGAGAGCCAACGGGCCTCCTGGGCAGCCATGGTCCCGGCATAAAGCTCTGCCTCACAGGTCGACAGTGAGACGGAGGACGACCGAGTGGAGCGCCAACTGACAACCCCACTGCCAAGGGTGAAGCAATACCCTTGGGAAGAGCGCCGATCACTCTGGTCATCAGCATAGGACGAGTCACTGTACCCCTCAAGGCGAACAGGGGAAGAGCCGCCAAGAGTGAGCACATAGTCCTGTGTGCCTTTGAGATAGCGGAGGACCCGCTTGGCGGCAGACCAGTGGTGGCTCGTGAAGCGACCAGGTGCAACGTAGCGAGACAGGACACTGACTGGGTAGGCCAAGTCTGGTCGAGTGCACATCATCGCGTACATGAGGGAACCAACGGGCTCGGGGTAAGCCTCATCACAGGGCTCAGGTGAGGGAACAGAGGGTGCAGTGAGTTGGTGCTGCAGAGAGAGTGGGGTGGGCATTGAAGCTGCTTCCTGCATCTTGAACCTGGTCAGAACGTTGTTGATGTAGAACTTCTGCAAGAGGGTGATGGTGCGGGCCGTGCGATCACGTGTGATTTCCATGCCCAGATAGTTCGTCAGCTTCCCAAGATCCTTCATGGCCAGTTTCTCACCAAGTGCGGTTTTGACTGCTGCCAGCTCAGTCTGATCCTTGGTGACAAGGATCATGTCATCGACATAAACCAAGATGAAGAAGCGGGATGGTGTTGCTCGGATGAAGAGGCTAGGGTCAGAGGTGGATGGGTGAAAGTCGAGGGACCCTAAGGTGCTCTTGAGCTTGTTGTGCCATTCCCGGGGTGCTTGCTTGAGGCCATATACTGGTCGATTCAGCTTCCATACAGTGTCTGGTGGAAAAGGAGCTGGAAATCCTTCGGGCCGCTCCATGTAGATTTCCTCTCGAAGGATCCCTTGCAGAAATGCAGAAGACGCATCCATGCAGTCAACCTCCATGTCATCTCGAGCGGCAACATCGAGAAGGGTGCGCAGTGTGGGAGGTTTGGCGGTGGGAGAGAATGTCTCAAAGAAGTCCAGTCCATGCTTTTGGGTAAATCCCTTGGCACAGTACCGGGCTTTGAAGACAGGAAATTCGCCTGGAAGTTGTTTCACCCGGAAAACCCATTTTCCCTTCACAATGTTGACGCCGGAGGGAGGAGAGACATCTGTGAAAGTTCCTGTGTGAATGAAGGCCTCACACTCTGCGACAATGGCCCCTAGCCACTGAGCGGCGTGAGGACCAGAAACTGCTTCAGCATAGGTGAGAGGTGTGGGGATGGAGGGGTTGTCCGAGAAGTTGAGGGTGGGAGATTCTGCGATATCTGGAAAGAGGGAGCAGAGCGCGTGTATGGCTGAGTCGATGTCAATCAACTCCTCATGTCTGTCCTCAAGAAGGAAGGGCATGAGCGAATAATCACCCCCGACAGGAGGAGGATTGAGAGAGACACGAATGGAAAGGGAAAGAGGCTTGGGAGCTTTGTGCGAGCGGGTGCGACCAGCGATGGGGGAGGGAGGCGGAGCTGGAGGAGGAGAAGCAGTAGGTGTAGTGGCAGCATCAGGAACAGCAGCTGGATCAGGAGCAGGAGGACGGCGTTGGTAGGTTTTGAGAGGAATGGGCTCGGGGGCGGGAAGGAGCGGGGGAGACTGCATGGTGCTGGAGGGGGAAGCGGGTGACGGGGGGTCGGAAACAGTGGAGGGAGTGGGAGGAGGAGGAGATGGAGTGGCGGGAGGAGGAAGACTGTCAAAGTCAACCCAAGTGAGAGAAGGAGGAGGAGGAGAGGGAGCAGCTTTGGAAGAGGGGTAGAATGGGTGAGACTCATCAAAGAAAACGTCACGGCTGCGATAGAGCTTGTTGGTGGAAGGATGGAGGAAGAGATAGTCCGGCGAGTCTGAGTTGTGCCCGAGGTATATGCACGTGACTGTTTTGGGAGCAAGTTTGCCGCCAGCTGCATGACGGGCTTGGGAGTTGAGGAGGACATAGGAAGTGCACCTCCATACACGCAGAGGGCGGACGGACGGCTTTTGACCCGTCCACAGCTCAGCGGGGGTGGTGTGGGTGTGATGAGGATGAGGATGGAGATTGTGGAGGGCGGCAGCGTGGAGCATGGCGTACCCCCAAAGAGAGGGATGTGCGGAGGCGTGAGTGAGGAGGCAGCGAGCAATCTGCACCAAAATGCGGTTCCGACTCTCAGCAACACCGTTTTGTTGGGGACTGTCTGGAAGAGTGAAGGTCTGAAGAATACCCTCAGCAGAACAGAAAGCTTTGAGAGTGTTGTTGCGGAATTCACCGCCACCGTCAGAGTGAAGAACCTTGATGGAGGTTTTGAAGTGGTTGTGAGCCTGCTTGGCCCATTCGATGATGACGGGTGGGGCTTCAGATTTGGAGGAGAGAAGGTGGACAGACACATAGCGGGAATAGTCATCAATGATGACAAGGAAGTAGAAGTGTCCGCCACGAGAACGAACGGGAGCGGGACCCCAAAGGTCCATGTGTACGCGATCGAGAGGTGCGGTAGAGATGGACTCAGTGGGAGGATGGGGCTGTTCCCGAAGCTTGCTTTGTGCACAGTCAAGGCAAGGCGGCCCAGAAAGAGAGGGAGGTTGTGAAAGTGAGGCGGGTAGTCCGTGAAGGAGTTGCTTGGAGGCAAGGTCTGAAAGGGCGCGGAAGTTGATGTGGCTGAGGCGGTTATGATAGAGCATAGTTTTGTCAGTGAGGAGCCGGCAGTGACATGAAGGAGAGTCTGAGGATGGAAGCGGAAGGTTGGTGAGGGAGCATGTTTGAACGGGAGGTACAACTAGTGTGTACAGGTTGTTGGAGTTTAGGGTGAAGCGCGCAAGATGGAGTCCGGTTTTGGCGTCAAACATGTCACAGTGGTCAACGTCATTGGGAAAGATGGTGATCACGCCTGCGTGTTGGATTTCCCGCTGTGCAAGAAGGTTGTAGCGGAGGGTTGGGGCACAGATGCCAGTGACTATGCCGGATGGGAAAGCTGGACAGGGAACTGTGGAGGACCCATGGCATTGGATGGAGAAGCTAGAATCGGCTCCAAGGAGTGAGGTGGGAGCCTGGTAGGGAACGAAGGCGGTTTGGTCTTTAAGCACTGTGTCGGTGGC